TTTTCTACTCACCTGTACCACTGTGGACATTTCTCATTCCTCAGGTCCAAGAAGGAGAAATTCCATCTGGGGTGAAGGCAAACAAAGACTAAGCAACTGAGTAAGGGCATGGAGGGCCTATAGAATAAGAAGATGACTAGCAGGAGCAAGACAAAGGCTGAGAGGGCTACCATCAGTTTAAAGAAAGGTAGCAAGGATGAAGTCCAAAAAGGAAAAGGCTACTGAAGAACAAGGAAGACAATGTTTAAGAACACAAACCAGTTCAGTGCTTCTTTCCTAAAGGAAGACCTCACCATCAACAGTATAGTAGCAAATGTCCCTCGGTGCATTGGGAAGGAATGGTGAGGAAATCATGCATACTCTCTACATCTCTGTAGAGTTCATGCAGCAGGAAGCAAAACCCTGCCTTTCACCTCTGGCATCACCGCAATCACATCTGTAGTAGAAATGCTCTTATTTACATAGTCTGAATGTACATACTAATTTTGTACCCAATGTAGAAAATTGCAAGAATAGTACATTCCTTCTTCTTTCAAGACTCAAAATACTAAATTCTAAAGGAATAAGAGGTTTACCAGACTTTTGGATAAATTCTGAACATTTCCACATCAATGGAGGTAGACAGCTCTCAGAAAGATTGAAGTCACCAATGATCTCTGAAAGTTTTACCCTGTGGCTGGAGCACATTTTGTATGCCATTTAAACACAGCCAACTGGGCAGCTTAGTTTCAGTAGGAAAAGGGAATGTGAGGGTGACAGCAACAATGGGCTGTTTTACAGTTTGGAAATTTGCCTGGCTTTTGCTTTGGGTATGGATCTAAATGGTCTAGGTCTGAAAATAACCAGCCTTTCCATCACATCTGTGTCACCTTCTCCCCCTTGTTTTACAAAGCCTGTCTTATTTCCATAGTGGTCTCTTGGCACCATCCGTCTGAGCCTATGGCTCTGGTTACATTTTGCCTTTTGAGCCAAAAGTGTAATGATGCTTCCAGGCTGAGGGAGAACAGGGCTTGGACATCTCCTGGGAGGTGTGACCAGCCCATACAATGAAGAGGCAGGTCTTGCTCGCATGCTCAGGGAGTTGCCAGTTGCCAGCCAGCACTGGGGTCAAGAAGGAATTTTTCTCCAGGGCAGATTGGCACTGGCTCCTGGGGATTTTTTGCTTCATCTGCAGCATCAGTCATGACCACTGGTCAGAGCTCTCCGGTCCCTTTTGGCCAGGTTGCTCATGCACCATGAAGATGGCCTCTCGTGCCCTACAGCTGGGGAGAAGGCGGCTTTCCCTGCCCCCTCCTCCCCCCATGGTGGGCTAGCAAGTGTCTCTGATTTTGTTTTTGCCTTCCTCTGCAGCACTGAGCTCCTCCGGGCCCTTGTGGCTCAGTTCTTGCCTGCTGCCCTTGCGGTTCCAGGCACCACTTGTGCCCTGCCTCTCTCTGACTCTCCTGCCCACTGCAAGCCTGGAGTAGGAGCAAGCTCTGCTCTTCACTTGGCTCTATTTCCTGAGGGGTTCTTGCTTGTGGTGAACAGCCTTGGAAGGCTTTATTCCTTGCTTGGAAGGGTTCCAGGCTTGCTGCCCCATCCGGAGCTGCCATTTTTCAGCTCTTCCTGAGTGCTATACAAGTGTGGGGCAGGCACAAGAGCACTTTTCATGCATCCTTGGCCAAGAAGCACATCTTGTAAGGCAGTAAGTGTGGTTGTCATAGATATGTGTCCTATTTTGGATAATATCCCATGCTACTACACACCTCTTTGCTTTCTTTTTTTGTGTGTGGTCAGTACAAATCCTCACTCTTCACACTCTCACTATTCAGGAAACAGGAACTGTTTGGCCTGTATTCCTGCTGCTACTCTCTGTGGCTCTGTGGTTTTTCTTTGCCAGACTGCAAGGGGTGTTTTTTCAAGCTAAACCAAAGAAATCACAAGCCTGCTCCTGGCTACATATGTGCATTGTGCTAATGCTTGTGAGCATCAGCTCTGAAAGAGATTCAGAAAAATAACTAACATAAAATGAGATACAATAAATTCCAGTATAAAAATAAAATACCATTTTCACGTGTAGTCTTTCTGATTTGTGCACTTGAACATGTTTTTAAAGATGAAAAAGCCTTGGTATTTCAGGCAAATAACAGGATATGATAGGATGGGGCAGGGCAGGACAGGACAGGACAGTTCTGGTATGTTATGCCCAGAGTTCTGCATGACAAGCTACGACCCAGGTCTGAGGGTTCCATTCAGGAGAGAAGCTCTCTGCAGTGCAGGTCCCAGACCCATCCAGGAGACAGGGCAGAAACACCTACAGCACCACTCAGGCAGGGACAACCTGGAAAAACCCCCTGGAGCCCCAGTGGAAAGCAACCTATGAGCACATCCAGGACCCTGGCAGAAGTAGACTTGCACTGTTCTTGTGCTCTCCTTTAGACACTGGTGATTGGCCACTTTGGAGACAGAGTTTTGGGCCAGATGGGCCTCCACTCTAGAGTTCTGTTGTTCTCCGGATCTTGTGTTTTAACGTGTTTCCAAGGGAAACAGCTCAGGCGTTTATGCAGTTGAGTACAAGGAGAAAAAAAAAATCCACAGGGAAATGAACATGTATTGCTCACATCAAATTGTTTGTAACCATTTAGTTCTGGAGCACCTCCTGCTCCAGACTGAGGGCTTGATCTTAAAGCCCAGATCTTTGGTCTCCTAGTGTCAGAGACGTGGGGTTTGCCATCCTGCGGAGACCCAGATAAACTGGATAAACACAGAAGACTTTCAAAAAACAAAAGTGCTTTTTGCAAATGTGTTTAAGTGGACAATCATAGCTCTTATCCTCATCAGAAGGTACAAGCCTCCTTGCCACAAAGTGATAGAGCCAATGCCCAGGCTGGGACATGACTACCCATTCTATCCCTTCTCCAGTGCAGGGCTGGGAAGAAATGTCATCAAACTAAAAAGCATGGTTGCTATAAAGTAAGGGCATTGTCCAAATGCCTCTTTAACATTGAAAGGCTTGGGGCATCGACCACCTCTCTTGGAAGCCTGTTGCAGCAGGGTTTGATCACCCTCTGGGTAAAGAAATATTTCCTCATGTCAAGTCTGAACTTCCTCTGAGGGACATTCCCACATGACCTGCCACTGGGTCCCAGGGAAAAGACCTTCTCTTCCTCAGAAAGCTGTAGAGAGCGGTGAGGTTGCCTCTCATCCTCCTCTCCTAACATGAAAAACTCAGTGTCCTGAGCCTCTCCTCACAGGACATGCCTGCCAGTCCTTTCACCAGCTTTGGTGTCTTCCTCTGGATGCATTCAAGGACCTTCACAACCTTTTGAAATTGTGGGGCCCAGAACCACACACAGTATTCAAGGTGACGCCACACCAACACCAAATACAGCAGGATAAGCACTGCTTTTGAGTGGTTGGTGACGCGGTGTTGGATGTATCCCAGGACATGAACCACGACACATGGGTTGCCCTCTGGACTGCCCAAGCACACACTGCTGACTGATATTGAGCCTGTGGCCAACCAGCAACCCCATACCCCTTTCTGCCGGACTGCTCTCCAGCCAATCCTCTCCCAGTTTAGACTTATGCCTGCTATTACTCCTTCCTAGGTGCTCCAATCTATCCAGATCAGTTTGGTATCATCAGCAAACTTAGTAATGGTGCATTCAACTGTTGCATCCAAATCACTGATAAATATACTGAACTGAATTTGACCTAGAACTGATCCTTGAGGAACATCACAAGGGACTGGCCACCAGCCATTCACTGTAACCCTTGAGCTCTGCCCTTCAGCCAGTTCTTCACCCAGTACACCATGAACCTGCTCATCCCATAGCTGGACAACTTGTCCCGAAGTATTCTGTGTGGCACAATACCCAAAGCCTTGCAAAAACCCAGAAAAATTACATCCATCACCTTCCCTTCATGCATTAAGTAGGTGACCTTATTATAAAAGGATACTAATTTACTTAAACAGGACTTTTTTTATATGAAACCCACACTGACTGTGACTGATGATTACAGCGTTCTTTAAAGGTAGTGAGTGATAGGACAAGGCAAAAATGGAAAGAGTAGATTTAGGTTAGATATGAGGAAGAAATTGTTCACTGTCAGAGTGGTGAGACACTGGAAGAGATTGCCCAGAGAAGCTGTGAATGTCTAATGCCTGGAAGTGTTCAAGGCCAGGTTGGATGGGACTCTGAAAAGCCTAGTCTAGTAGAAAAGTGTCCCTGCCTATGACATGGGGGCTTGGGAATAGATGATCTTTAAGATCCCTTCCAACGCAAACCATTCTGTGATTCTTCTGGAGTGTAACCTCCCCTGCATTGTCTTTCTTTACTTCCCCATTAACTAAAGGAATTAAATTTTCTGTATTTCTCATAGAATTCCACTTTACTCCCTTGTTCATTATAATTTCTTTGAAGCTCATGCCCTTCTGACTTTACACAGTCATGCTGTTATTTTTACGTGCTTTGAGACAGAAAGCTTTATTCTCACGTTTTATATAATCTCCTATTCATTTTCAGATCTGAAACAGTTACTGGGGCATTCTTCCCTGCTGCTTTTTCTCTACTTTTCAATTTGTTAATATATTTTTTAAGTCACAGTCAATGCTTTGCCTGATTTTGCCCAATGGATGAGCAGTTCTCTGTTCTCTTCTGGTTGCAGTTTTCCTTGCACAACTGTAATTTTCTAAATTTATTTTCTTTCAGAATTGTAACTTTTACTGGCCATAATTCCAATGAGTTTCACCTTGTAGAAAGAGTTCCCTCCATTAGATTGGGAATTCTAGAGAATTCTAGAATTTCTAGAGAATACCCTGTCCTGGTCTTTGTGTGCTCAAGCCTGAACAGCACTCATTATTTTGCTTCCTTCTTCCTTCCTGACCTCAGAATGACACCATCACTTCGTGACAATTTTAATCCAAGTCACTTAAAAGAAAAAGGCATTTTCTTGCAGTATAGAAGCCATAACTTTACTGGAAATAATTAGCACATCTGTGAGAAGTTTTACCTCAGTGCTGCAGTAGGTGTATTTTATTATAAAACTGATCTCTTGTTCAAAGTTCCACAACTGTAGCATCTTGAAAGGTGCTTAACATAATGTCACAAATAGCATTTTTGTTTTGCTTACATATGGAGGTGGTAAACAGGTAAACAGTCTTTCAGTATCTATGGCAGTCTTTTTCTTTTGCTATTGGCATCCTCCATTTTCACTTCATTTCAGTTCATCAGCAGGATGACTTAAAGGTTTGCCATCTTCCATCTCCAATTTGTTTACCTCTTCCTCTAATTCATCCTCCAACTGATAGTCTGAGACTGATTCAGTGTTATCATCCCAGTAATCAGCCTCATATTTGTCCATTAAGTATTTCTGTGGTGTAATGTCATCATCATCAGGATTCTTTGGTTTTCTCTTTTTCACTTTCTTCCGAATCTTTGAAAGCTGCTGCTCCTGCTCTTCTGTCCAGGGAATACTTTCTACATGTCTTGACACTTTCAGTCTTTTGTAGTCCATTATCTGTTTATTCAGCAGTTCATGATCAATGCCAAACAGATTAGACTGCATGGGTGACTCTGAAGATTGAGTTGCTGAAGAGAACAGTTTACTGTGAAAAAGAAAACAAATATTGGGGTTTTTCTCTCTGTGCATATTTCAAGGGGTACTGCTAATTTTGACAACTTGAGTAAAATGGAAATAAACTGGAGTTTTCAGTTTGACTTTATAAATTCCCTGTGTTCAGCACTGTGCTCCCCATGTTAAGAAGGAAGAGATACCACTGTATTGTGTGTCCAAGGACAGTCTGTATATAAGTCTGTAGGCCTGTTAACAGATTTAATGGGAGAAAGCCAATAAAACAATGGCATTCCAGATAAAAATGCTTGTCTCTTGAAAAAGGTGTAACACAGAGTGCATATTGGACCTTGGAGCCCCAGGGAACTTGAGACTTCTCTCCAGCTCTTCCAAGAAGTGAAAAGCAGCAGCCTGTGCCTGAAAGACATCAGACTGATGTATAAATGACACCTTATGCTGGACTTCAGTATTTCCACAAGACACAGGGAAGATGTTAGGTGCCAGCAATGCTCCCAAGGGGAGCTATTTCTGACTTGCCCCTGATGAACCATTCTGTGAGACACAGGAGCACAGAAGGTGTTTCTACCAACAGACCGCAACACCCAAGTGCAAAGGGTGCTGGCTTTGAGAGCATCCAGTCCACAAAACCACTATTCCAATAGATTGTTTAGCCCTGTCTCTCAATAGCCAAAAATCCCTCACAGAAGAATGCTAAATTAACTTACGGAGATTTGTCAGTAAACTTGTAACTCATGTATAACACACCAAACTTATACCAGAAAAAAATGGTCAAGTAGAGGAGCACTGGTATTTTTATGAGAAAATTACCAGCGAGCAACAAATATTACTGCTGCAAAGCATTTTTTAAAAACTTGATTATCATAAACAACATTAAGTCTTGGAATCTTAGAAATTATACATTTATTTCTCTCATAAAAATCACGATACCAGAACAAGTATTGGGTCTGTGAGTAACAAGTCTGATGACTATGTCACTCAAGGAATAGACATGAAACACAGCTGATTTCTAAGACTGTGTTCTGATGTCACCTTATGGGTGCCTCTGAAAGAATACACACTGTGCTGTTACAAGTGATGATTCAATCATTCTCCACAGTTTAACAGAGGTTTACTTCTACCAAACAAAATAGACCTTCCCTTCCCATATTTTGCAAAGCTATGGTCAGACCTGTGCACAAGAACCAGTGACAAAAATAGCCCATGAAAATGTGTCTACACTAAAATATGGAAGTAAATCAGAGCACACATAATAAGAAATATTTTCCCTTAATTTTAATAAATGGGTATAACTTCGGTAAAGAAAGCTTAAGTCACAAAATAAAATGCCATCCTCTACATTTAATTTCTGGGATGATTACACACTAGTTTTGTCCTTGGTTATTCTGTAGCCTCCTACATTAAAAAAAAATATCTCTTCAAAAGATGAGATACTTTTTTAGTAAGGTCTTCCAAACAGACTCTTTCTTCTACTTTTTTCCTTCATAACATCATTTGCTGAACTCTGAGATAATAAAAACATACATGTCTAATTAAAATACACTTTCTGTCACATCAAATGATGCCCAATTTAAGTTCCCCTACAGAGATGAAAACAGGCACTTGTACAATTCTGATTCAAAGAGACCCACCTTGAATCATTTTGAAATATTTCTTCTTCTTCATCTTCAGGTCCAAAATCAGCAATTGCCAACAAGTCCTCGACCTGTAAACACATGAAGGCAACACATATTAGAGGTCCTGTATTAAATCTACTTTGTTCACACCTACAAAAGAAACAGACAGGCACTTAGCAGCATATATTTGATTTTCTAAATGTTTGAAATATTTAGCAAAACCATTTCAAAATAGTCTCTTCCATCATTCCAATAAGCATGGAACTGCTTGCACTTTTTAGCTGGGAAGTTTCTGTCAAATGGTGTAATGTATCCAGGGATTCCTACAGAGTTTTTTGCCTTGTGCATTATAAACAATTGGCTAGGGACTGTGTGACATGCAATTTTTGGTTTATTTGTTCTCTTACTTCAGTCTTGCGAATCCTTTTTCATAACATCCTCACACCGAGACCTTTTTTCATCTCTTCCCACTTTCTGCAAGTTTGCATTTCTATTACACGTAATTATGGAGTTCCCAACTCCCTTTTAACATGGCACCTATCCAGTAAATGCTACAAGTCTAGTATATTCAGCGCTTACAGACTGTACATAATTGTGAAAATTTGGTCTCATCTGAAATTTTGATTGCAACTTTTCTTTATATTCATTTACTTCTAATTCAGTATATTATTCTAGGAGTTTAATTGTATGGTCTTTCCTTGACTTTCAATCCTTAAAAATCAGGTTTAGTTACATTGTTTCAAGCCCCGTTATTTGAATGCGCGGTTGACCTAAATCTGATGAAGTGCCAAGTGGGAGAAGATGATCCATCTAAGTGCCTTCAAGCATCATTCCCTGACAGAAGCAATATAAGGAGGGTTTTTACTTGTCTTGTGCGAAACTCAGAATTTTACTGACTGCAGAAAGTTCAAGCAGTTCACTGCATTTCTAGAGAGTCTAAAGTTCTTGCTATTCTTTCCAGCCCTGCTCACACACACTGTAGGAGTCCGTAAGTCAGTAACAGTAATTAACTGGCTGCAATAGTAACACATCTAAGAATAGGGCACTTCAGGGCACAGAAATGTGAACATGTTCTTTTCAACTTCTATTCACATCAATAGCTTGAGGAAACTCTTTCATTAAATTCTACTCATTAATGTCATTCTTCTCTTCTAGAAATCTCACTATTTAAGAGATCTTGCTTTACAGTCCTAATGACAGAAAATTTCTAGGAAACATCATTGTTCTAGGAATATTTCAACTAGTTAACACTATCAACACCTTGACAGAAAATGTGAAATAGTGAAGACGATTTTAAAAGTGAAGATAAAAATGTAGTATGAATAAGCTTACATCCCCTATGTAAAGATCTGCACTTCCCTAAAAACATTTTAACAATTCAAAGATGGGAAAAGATTGGGGGAAAAAAATAAAAATGAACAAGTCACTGGTTAGATTTGATGGTATTTTAAATCATATAACATTTAAAATGTGGAAGAAAGCTCTTCCAACCTCATTTCTATTATCAAGCAATCCTATACTATTCCTTAAAATGGTAATTAAATTTTTTAGAATTTCTTTATTGGCCTAATGATACAACCTGCAATTCTTTTACATTAAATAGAAGTATCAATGTTATTCAAGACTGTTTGTTAAAGTGCTTTGGAACTCGAAGAAGAAAGGGTACAGGTGAAGACTGATTTTGAATGTAGGCTGGCAGAGCAACTGAATGATCAGTTCTCTCCTAAGTCACCATATTTGTACACTGAGTCAAAGAACAGAATTACCTCTTTTACAGCTGCAGCTTCTTTGTCTTTTACAAATACTATTGGGGGTACATTTCCTAGAATCTGCTGACTCTTCAGAAGATACCTGGCAAAAATACAGCATTCACCAGTATGAGTATCAGCACAGCATCTCCAGGACAATTAAAATGTGTTAAATTAATTCCAGCAGTATTGCACATTAAAGATACGGTTTGCAAAACTTACAGTCTGATGGGTAGCTATTTAAGTTAGTGCCGAGCAATACATCACTGCAGAATCCCAACTCTGAATGCATAACATACAAAAACTACCAGCTGCAGATCCCACTGAGTATTGATGACATTAGTATTGATGATATTAGATTTGTCTCTATCTATATGCACAGGTCTTTCCTCACTTCATTTGGCATCCTTATCCCCACTGTATGGGTAAGAGCAGTGAGGGGAAGAGTCCTTAGAGCAGGGCAAGACAACTAGTCCTACACACTAGCTGCAGGAAGGACTGACAGGGCTTGTCTTCTTCCCAGCCAGCAACTTTCCTTCTCAAAGAGTGGAAGCCCTTGGGAGTAGAAGAGAGCATTGTGCAGGAGCAGGAATTACATAGCCTAGGGAAACAGGTGGAAAGGAAAAGGCTTTACAATTATGCTTCTATGCCACTTTCCACATGGAGTTAAGTCCTGAACTTCGAACACACTGGCTTGATAGCAGAGGGGAAGCAAGGAAGAGGGAGAGACAAAAATATCAATAACACCCTGAAAACTTCCTGGACCCTGGGTTGAAAAAACGGGTAAAAGCATCACAATACACAGTAGCATCCTGAATTTTTTTTTAATTGGTACTGTGAAGAATTTCTGCAATATCAGTCACCCCTTCTGGAGGTTGAAATTGTCCCTAGCAATCAGAATTGCTCAATGAATCTGTAAGGAGATACTTGGAATTGCCAGTCCTTTGTGCAGCGTGCCATTCTGGCCTACTGTCACTCGGAGCATGTCCAGTCCACCACAACGGAATGAACCCTCATCCACACTCCTCTTGCTTTCTGCTCAGCCCACTCCAGTCCTGGGAAAGCACAGAAGCCAAATAAGCCAGCTGTGTTCCAGCAAGAGAATACACAGCTGGTCTGTCGCAGCCACCCTTCCCTGTGAGGCTCATCACAGGAGATGCTCTGACTCCAAGTATCTAGAAACCTAAAGCATCTGAACAGATTGTTGGACATCCTTAACAAGTGGCACTAGTCCATGGCTATGAATTTATGCATATTTATCCCACAGCAGTACCGTATGCGTGGAGCGCTCTTCCGCAACACACTTTCCACATAACTTTCTTTCTCCATAGTAGCAGCAGGGTTCCAGTACACACGACACGCTGAGAAGTTTGATGACAGGGACACCTATAAAAAGGCAAATATGTCTTAAAAATTATATATATACACACACACACTTCACGTACAATGAAGTCTCTGATGGACTGCAGAAAGCCTACTAGAAAATTTCTTCTGATAACAAAAGGAATGATATGGGACCAGAATCAGCTTAGGAGTAAATTAGGACTCACCTACACCCTGCCATGTCCCAGTGAAGCATAAACACTAAGCAGTTATAAAATCTGTATTATATTTGGAAGAAGGCTGTTTCTTTCTCTCTCTCATGTTATAAATTGTTTTAGTTACAGCAATGCTTCCTGAGAATGCTATGGCTTACCCACACCATCCAGTATTTTTAGGTGTAGACATGCAATTCAAGTTAGACAAGCAACCCTCAAAGCCCTGAAGAGACAGAAATATTATATGAAGGATACTGCACAAATAGAGCCAAAAGACTCATCTTGTCCATGTAATTTTAATCATTTGCCTGAAGACAGAACAAATTCAGTTGGCAAAAACATCTATTTCAGTCATAAATGACAAACCCTTTCTCACAGATGCAGCTATGATGTGCATATTTTTTCCCATGCTTCTAGTAAGTCCATCATGCTTTTAAGCCAAAGACTGGTATAATTTAATCTTTACAGAACAGTAAATATGGAAGATAAAAACTACAGACAACAAACAAGAATGCAGAAACTGACTTAGTTCCTGAATCAGAGCTTTAACATCCCTTCCAAAGCCACAAATGACACCATTAGCTACAATTAGGTTCAAATCTCAAATCTTTCTCAAATCTTGCTTGACAATGACATTTTCTTATGCTTGCCTTTTTCCTGAACTAAGCTCATCCCTCACTTAGGTCTTCTCCTGTTAATACTGCTGGTGAGTGACACAAGGAGGTAACAACTCTCACACAGCTGTATCTTGGAAAGATACACTGATGTTGGTAAAACCAGACTTCTTATGAAAAGTCAAGGCAAAGAGTTTATATATGAGTAACAGGGAAAAAAAAAGTCATACCAGGAGAATAACCATTAGGTTTGCCTAAGCTGCACGTGCACTAGAGTGGCAAAGGTCTACTGAGCCAGGTACAACAATGACAAAGCTCTCCCAGTGTACTCCAGAGCCTGATCTGGCTGCACTCTGCCACATGAGAAGCAATGCAGTAAAGCTCCCCCTGCACACACCACAGCACTCGGGGAGCTCCTCTGGCACACCATGCTGACCTCATGGTGTAGCCAGAGTGGCTCAACACAAGATGCAGCTTTGGCACTTGCCTTGCAGATTTCCAGCTTGAGGTCATAAAATTCTTGACTGACTTCACAGGTAGTCACCATCTGAGACATAGCTTTATGAATAAGACCATTCAAGACTCTGCAGCGTATGTTATCTTCTTTCTTAGTTTTTGTCTGCTCATTTTTCATTAGGGTGTCCAACTTGGTTGGTTTATATATCTTAAAAAAACAAACAACACATTAATCAGTAGTTACACACTTGTGCTAGGTAATTATATATAGTTTTATGCATTCTACTAAGTATGCTCTTAGAATGTCATTATTGCAGCTGTGATGGTTTTATATAGATCCTATGTATCAAGTGTTTCAAAAATGAATATTTCTCTGCATAAAATCACTGACCTTTGTGTCTTACAGCCAAAGTTTCTTAAGTTTCTTTACTATTTTGTAGCAAGTTATACAGGTTAATAAATCTGTTTACTAAAATACAGCAGGTACTTACTGAAAAGCATTGCTCGTTTGAAAAACAAACATTAAAAACTTTTTCACAAAACTAAGCTTGTAGAAGTTTTAATGTGGATCAGTTCTCTGCTACGTATTCAAGAATGTGCAAGAGCACATTGATGCTGGCACAGATGAAAAATCAATACATAGGAAGAAACAGCCATGAGGAGCCAAACTGCTTCTCTGGATGGCAATCCTGGCATGTTGCAGTGAAACTGAAGCCCCAGCGTTCATTCACAAAATTCTGCTATTTCCCCATCAGAAAATGCTTTTCCCAAGGTTGGAATCAATGGCAGAAGCACAAGTTTTTTCCTACCGGAACAGAGCACCTTAAGAGCTTGCACTTACCATTTTAGATCCCAGGGTAGGGCTATCATACCAAAACTTCTTTCTTTTGGAAAAAGGAAAGGAAATCAAATTTATCTTTCAGCACCACAGAGAAACGACATCTTCTCTTTGTAATTAAAATGCCACCTACCTGAAGGCACACACCACCACCTAGGTTTTCATGCCCACAAGTAGTTTTCCCCACAGCTGGAAGCACATGCAGGAGCAACGCTTCCCATTCACAGCTGAAGTTACACATAGACAGCAGGGGTAGGAGGGGAAAGAATAACTCTAAAGTTTCTTCAGAGTTGTAGAACCAATAAGGTTGGAAAATATCATTAAGATCACCGAGTCCCCCCATTAACCCAGCACTGACAAGTCCACCACCAAACTATGCCTCCAAGTACCACACCTACGTGTTCTCTGAACTCTTCCATAGATAGGTGATTCCACCACTTTCTTGGGGAGCCTATTCCATTGCTTGAACTTTCTTCCCTTTTGGTGAAGAAATTTTTCCTAATATCTAATCTAAACCTCCCTCAGTGCAACTTGAGGCCCTTTCCTCTTGGCCTGTTGCTTGTAACCTGGGAAACCAATCCCACCTGACAATAATCTCCTTTCAGATAGTTGTAGAGAGCAAGAATGTGCCCCCAGCCTCCTTTTCTCCAGGCTAAACGCCCCCAGATCCCTCAGCTGCTCCTCATCAGACTTGCGCTCCAGATCCCTCAACAACTTCCTCGCCCTTCTCCGGACACGCTCCAGCACCGCAGTGTCTTTCATGTACTGAGGGGCCGAAAAAGGAGCACAGGATTCGAGGTGCGGCCTCACCACTGTCGCCGTGTACAGGGGGCAGTCACTGCCCGGGTCCCGCTGACCACGTACTGCTGACACAGGCCAGGATGCCACCGGCCTTCTCGGGAACACCGCTGGTTCCTGTTCAGCCGCTGCCGACCCACTGAGATCGGGGGTAACTTGGCGCAACACCGAAGCACCGATATCAGAAGGGCCCCGCGGCACTGGAGGCGGTGCCCGTAGCGCGGCTCGGGGAGGGCGGTTCTCCTTCGTGCTACCGGGGACCCCACAGCGCCTCTTACAGCCCTTGCCCCAGCGCCCACAAACCACCCCGCCGGGACACGGCCAGGCCCAGCAGGAGGACCCCGCACCTACTTGTTCTTGCGGAGCATTTTCCGCAGCAGGTTCCTGGAGCCGCCCAGGGCGGCGGAGCCGTGCAGGGCCCGGCCCCACCGCGGCACCGCCGCCGCCGCAGCCCGGGCGCCCCACATGCTGCCGCAGCCCGGCACTTTCCCGGCCCTGCACTTATTATTATTACTTTCCCGGCCCTGCACGGCACTGCCGAGCTCCCGGCTCCGGCGGCGGCTCCCCCTGTCGGCGCGGCGGCCCGGGCCGGCCCTGCAGGGAGCGAGGGCAGGAGGGGCAGAAGCCGAGCCCCCCTCGGCCACGGGCCAGCCTGAGGCCCGGGCAGGGGAGCGCTGGCACTCAGGGAGAGCCGAGCCCCGCGCCGGCACAGCTGTGCACAGGCTCGGTGTCTGCAGAGGGAACGTGCGCCCAAAGGTCAGGATTGCTGCTGGAGGGGCTGGAGCAGCCGCTCGGACACGCCTGGCTTTGCCGGGCGATTCCTCTAAGACGCGATTTACACGTTCCTTTAGTTCGGTGTTGCACCCGTGGGGAATTGTAGGGGGATGCGAGCAAAATAAATGGCACTGATGCAAGACTCTGGGCTCTCGTTTTTTTCACTGAAGGTCACGACAAAACACTGCAGGTTTTCCACACGGAATCGCTGTTATTTAAACAAACATTATATGTTTTATCTATATAACACCCATGGGATAATGACATGAAAAGTGATCAAATTACTGTTTTGTTATGCCAGGATAACCACCGATGGCGTTAATGCTTAAGTGCAAGCCACTTTATGGCAACACTTCGTGAGGGATAGGGAGACCGGCAAGGCCCGCCTGTATGCTTTCTGTCATTTCCTCCATCATAATGCGGCGTGTCTTCTTGGTGGCACTTCCGATGTGAGGAGTTATTATGACATTCTTCAGCTTTAACAAAGGGTGATCCCTGGGAAAGGAAAAGAAATGCTGAGCTAGTCACTCACAGCATATTCATTATCTATTTCATCCCCTGCAGGTAAGCCAGGGAAATATTTTAAATAATTATTAAAAAAATAACCCAAACAAACAATTTCGTGACCCAAGCATACTCAGAGCAATTCAAAGTGTTGTCTAGATTGGTGGGGTTTTATCCAACACATCCTCCAAATGAGTCAATGTGAATTTTGTTTGTCTGGAACAGAAGGACTGGGGACCTGGTTTCAGCAGTACTAGTGCACATACATCATATACGGCTACTAACAAAATTATGCAACTTCTTACGTGCTGGCAAAATTTTACTCAGTTTGAAACTCACACATACACTCATTTATATTTAATTTAAATACATGTCCTACCTTGGCAAAGGTTCAGGATATGTCACATCCAGAGCAGCTGCCTTAATAACTTTGTTTTGAAGTGCTTCCACCAAAGCATCCTGATCCACTACCAGACCTGAGTAAGAAGGTTATATTTATTTTCATATTCTGTACTGCTCTCTTGCCATCCTTTTGGGCAGAGTGGTCAGGCAAACAGCAGGGCTAGCCACAGTCACAATGCAGAAGTAGCAGCAGCAGAGTGTGGTGGAGTGGGAGGAGGAAGCTTGGGTATGTGTATCAGTGTTGAACAGTCAGGAATTAGCAGCAGGAAACAAAGTATAGTGCCAGGCTTCATGGCAGGCTGTGCCACCATAGTATTGTTGTTGTTGTTGTTATTGTTATTATTATTATTATTATTCACGTTCAACAACACTGCATTAAATAAATAAAAAGCTTAAGCAGGAGGTTATGTAAGTATACATGGGCTTCTAACACTCCAAGCTCACTAACATTTCGGAGACCTGCTTGCTCGTTATTATAGGAACACCCAAATGTTCTACTGCGATACAACCACAAGCATCTAAATAATCTAGTAATCAGAGAATTTGTGGAAAATTTTAGTGACGGACTCCATATTAGAGTTGGGTTTTCCCAGGACTTGTCATGCCAGCAAACCTCAATGTAGTTTTGTTTATGCTGCAGCTCACCTCTACTAATATTAATGAGAGTAGCAGTGGGTTTCATCAGCTCCAGCTCCCTCTTCCCAATCAGTTTGTGTGTCTGTGGAGTTAGGTTCACAGTCAGCAACACAAAATCTGACTGCTGGAGCAAATCATCTATCTTCTTACAGTAAACAGCTCCAACGGCACTTTCTTCTTCTTTTTTTCTGAGGGGAAAAAGCCAAAATTAAACTTCAGTAAGCAAGAAACAAGAAAAAGATCAAATCACCCTTAGAGAAAAGGCTTCTTTATTGTTTTCTTTACTCTGTAGTGCAAAGCAGTTAGCTGGTTATCTGACTGAAATTCAGTAAAGACAAATGTTAAGCTGTTTCCCACAATACCAAGTGAACTGTACACAAATGTGCAGTTCTATATCTGTGGGGATGGAAAGTAAGAAATGAGTATCATGTAAATGCACTGAATAAATGATAAAATAAATTAATTTGTATCAGAGCTTCTGGTTGTAACAGGGATTTTTTTTTTCCAGCCTAAAAGCAAGACTAATGTATTACAAAAATTGCCTTCTCTGGGAAAAAGTAACTCATGTGAAAATTGCTGAGGAAACCCACAAGACAGAGCAGGGGTTAAATCTGCAGAAATTTGTGTCAGCAGCCACCTAATTGCTCTGTGCATCAGTGCTGATTCACTGAAACCACAGGCACAGCAGGACCTGCTGGTGCATTTGCTCTCTATCACAACAAGGCTGGGGCACGTACTGCTTGGCTCTCATCAGATTCCAACAAAAGAATAGGATGGGATGGGCCTGATGGGAGCACAAGGGCAGAGGGTACATAGACCTCAGATAGGAGAAAGCAATCAGATGGGTAAGTCTGGCTTTTTATTATCAGCTGGCTCTGGAAGGGTGAGATGTCTCTGCCTCACCTAAGTTGCAGAAGTTATGTCCTCCCAGATAGTTTTCTCCTTTCCTTTAATCTATTGTAATGTCACCACCGTGACACGAAGGATCAGGGAGCCCTAACTCACAGGGAGACCAGTGAGATGTCTCTCTCTCATTCCTTGGTGACTTTCTTTCTGTATAAATTGGGAAATTAATGACCATCCTGAAACAAGTGTATGTACTTTGTAACTTAAAAAAAGAGCTCAGTGAAAAGCGAAAGCACAGCGAAAGGTACAAACAATGTTTAAAAGAAGTGACAAAATAGAATTGCCATGGAGCTTCAAACAGCTTTACCTCTGACTTCTGTTGTGATACAAAATCTTCATTTCAAAGCCTTTGGCTCTTTCAGCCACTTTGTAACCAATGGTGCCCATTCCCACAATCCCCAGGGTCGCTCCAGAAACCTCAGCCCCCAGCCAGTCAGCAGGGAAATACTCTGTGTCAGGAGAGACTGCCATCTCATGGCCTTGGAGGAGGAAAAGAAGGAATTATCATTTAAAGGATGTTCCTGCATATTGTTACTTTTTTTTGCACTTTTTGTTGTAGGACAAGCAGAAGCACAGAAACAGCAACAAAATGTCATCTTGTTTTTGGACAAAAAGTGAATAATGCTGTACTGCACACATGTCTGCTGACACTGATTTCTTGCTTAGGATAGAAACAAATCCAGCCTCTCTTTGGCAGGCAAGGAAGGTAAGGTCAAAGCAGCAACCTCCCTTGGATGTACATCACACACCCTGGCCACCATCTCTCTCTGCCTGTAGTACAGGTTACTGCACAACTGAAATACACCTCAGCTTCTTATTCATCAGCATGGGTCATGAAAGTGGCAGTGCCATAGATGTCACTGACATTGTAAATACTGAACGGTGCAACTGCTAGATCAGTTGTGGGATCATCAAGACTTTTAGGAAGGTCATATGAGTCCCAGCAACCTTAAAGATACACCAGGGTTGAAAGGAAAAGAAACACAGAGCATGGTGGACAGATTTCTGGACAGCTTATTTGTGGTAACTCACATACACAGCAACTTGGCAAAGACAGGTTTCAAGCCTCCTTGAAAATATCTCCTTTTAATGCCCTTTTATTATAACTTGAAAAGCAAAGCTGAAGTGAGCAAATACAGTGAATAAGTGGTTGTAGGCTGAGGGAGAAGTGACTTGAATTTGGGGCTGAATTTAGGTTGAAGAAGGAACACACCTACCTTGCTGATATACCTTACTGGAAATGGTATGCAAGTTACTGTCAACAAGACAGATAACTTTTTCCTTGTCCTGCATTTTCCATATTTCTACTTTTAAGCTTACCTTTGCATCAGCACACACTTTCTGCATGTTTTGAAGTCACTCTTTCTATAAAAACACTAAAACCATTTCAGTTATTACCTTCCACAAGTCTCCTGGAAGATGCCAGCATCAGAGCCATTCCCAGGTCTGCAGTGTCAGTGGAAACAATAAATGGAGTGTTGGATACTTTCACACCAAAGCTAGAGAGGAGGTTCAGGTCCAAGTGATCTATTCCCACTCCAGAACTTGCAACTATCCTCAAGTTTGGCAGGCTCTGGAGCAGCTCTTTGTTAACAACTGGTTTGTGATACCACATATAAATAGCTCTGATCTTTTTGCTGAGAAATGTCTTATTTTCAAGATATTCTTTCATGGTGACGAGATGAAAATGTTTCTGCAGAAATCCAACATGGTCTTCATATACTCCATGCACTCCTCCTATACAGTTAATTAGCACATAAGGCAGTTCCTGACCCTCCATGCCCTACAAAAGCAAGGAGAACCAAAAGGACATAGTCTTAAGCAATCCATCGCAGCTTTTTTTTTTTTCTAAAAACCAGTAATTGATCGGCTCCATTACATGCTGTTTTCCCACTATGGAAGAGTTGGCTAAAGGTAATCACTCCCACATGTAGGACTTTTTTCAGTACTCACTCTGTTTTTCAGAGGGATGTTCAATTTCTATATAATCTTGTTAAAAATACAAGAAAACATTGTTTCTGGCACACCAACTATGCTGACACCTAGACAAATGAGTTATCAGATGTTACCTGTGTTCAATATTTAAAGGCCAGAGTCTTGATAATTTGAGAATATGGCCATGTGAGTGGAAGGGTATCTTTTAGCCCCCAAGTTCTGCCTTTGATTTCCACTTCTGTAACTATATTCAATAATAAGCACTGACGAGAATATCTCAGGAAAGAGTCTCATTTAATGTTAACAGAGCTATAATTTGTCAACTACGAACTTTGGAATTATCGATTTACTTCCAGAGCATAAGTTTACCCTTTCTTTTTTCGATCTCCTTCAGTGTCCTGACAACTCTTCACCCTGCCGACTCCAGAAAGAGCCAAGTCTATGATCACAGGTTAAATTCGAGAGACCCGCAGCTGCCCATCAGCCCGACGCAAGGCGGTCCCGCACCACTCCCGCACCGCAGGGCCAGCGCCTCCCGCTTCTCCCCCGACCTCACGGAGAGTATTCCCGGTCCAGGGCCGGTCAAGCCCTGGCTCGAGGCCTTTGCAGCGCTCCCGGCCGGCCTGCCGGTGAGACTGAAGTTACGAATGAGCTGGAGCGGGAAGGAAAGGGCTCAGCCCGGCCCTGAAGGACGGGGGGTCACGGAGGACCGCGGGAGCCCCTCGTGCCCCACACGCCCGGTGCTACCGACGGTGCCACCGACCGCCCCGTAGGTCCGCGGCCACCAGAGCCGGGAGACCTCGGCGGCCGCCTGGCAGAGGCGCTGCCGGTGCCCGGCCCGGGGTCCCGCAGCGCCGCCGCAGCACTCACTCACCCCGCCGGCCCCGCTCGCCGCCGCCGCGTCCGAGCCGCACCCCCGGAGAGCGGGGGCGGAGCGGGACCCGCCGCCCCAGCCCGGACTGCCCGGACACCCGCACCCCCGCCCGGGGTGAGCGGGGAGGAGAGGCGGTGCTAGGGCGCGGGAGGTGCACCCCAATCCCTCGGGGAAGCCGAGAGACGGAAAAGGGAGCTCACAAATGGTTGTGCGGTTTTTTTTAAAAGCGTGTCGTGTTTCTGCGCTTTTTGTGATTTCAGAATAAAAGGGATTTTGCATGAATGCCCTGCACCCTTCCCCATCCTCCCCCCCCCCCCCGCATCGTTTTCGAAGGCCAGCTGTGGTCTGATCCCTCTGTTGTTCATTACACATAGTCATTGTGCAGGAGTTCACGTGGGACAGAGTTGTCTCTGATCAGCAAACACGAGTGACAACTCTCATTGTACACATGAATATTTTTTTCCAACCTAAATGATTCTCGGAATACCCTCAGAACCTCTCTTTGAGAGTAAAACAACTGTGCCAGGCTCACGTCCTTAGGCACTGCAGCTGTTACCCCAGCTACAGGCAGTCCTGTGTATCCCAGCTAACAAATGCATGAAAATTTTCCAGACAAGGTTACTTGTGCTGTAGATCATAGAATGGTTTGGGTTGGAAAAGACCTTAAAGATCATCTAGTTCCAACCCTCCAGCTGTGAACAGGGATGCCTTTCACTAGATCAGGTTGCTTGAAGTCTCATCCAGCCTGGCCTTGAACAGTGTGAGGGATGTTCCTCAGCCTCTCTGGGCAACCTTTTCCAGTGCTTCACCACTTCAGCTTAAACCCATACCCCCTTGTTTGTCAGTATACACCCTTGTAAAAAGTTCCTGTCCAGCTCTCTTGTGGACACCTTTAAGATACTGGAATGCTGCTATCAGGTTATCCCAGAGCCTTCTCTTCTCCAGGCTGAACAACCTCAACTCTCTCAGCCTTTCCTCATGGGAGAGGTCCTTAATCCTCTCTGATCATTTTCATGGCCCTCCTCTGGACTCGCTCCAATAGGTCCATGTCACTCCTGTGCTAGGGACCCCAGATCTGGACACAGCACTCCAGGTGGGTCTCACAAGAGCAGAGCAGAGAGGCAGAATCACCTCCCTCAACCTCCATTCCTGGAGATGGAGGCTGGGAAGTACAGCTTCAGTACTCGGTTCACTAAGGTTGCATTGAAGTGATCCCCCTTGCTGGTCAGCAGCCACTGGAGAGGACGCCTAGCTTCTGTGGTGAGAGTAGCTCAGGAGCCGGGACACACCACTGCTGTGGGCACCAGGAATTCCTCTCCTTCCGCACTAAGAAACAATCAGCCATGGGATGCTGCTGTGCCTTTCCTGACTACTGTAGCGCTTTTAAAAAATGGATTACAAAATCCTGTTATCTTGAATTCTACCAAATACATTTTAATATGCTGAACATTAAGGCAGTCAAGTTTAACACCAAATCCTCTGAAAAATTACTAATAAAAAGATAAAATATAATAACATTTCATAGTAATTATATAAAGCCATATATTATTCTTGTTATCCTGCTGATGATTTTTTAGTATCATTTGCTTATATGAGTTTCAAGTTCAGACAGTTAAAGCAAAAATTCATTAACTAGCAAGATGGAGCTAAGGCATATTAACTGGACTCTTACGTAAGTCTACTTCAATTTTCTTCCTTAAAAAAACCCTAACAAACTATAAAATGCTTACACGTTACCTGTTTCACATCCAAAACTTCCAAACTGCTTTGCTGATAAGATGTAATGGGTGATCTTTTAACTTACTGCTTACTGTTACCGGAGATCAAAGGACCATTGTAAAGTCCCTCTTAAAAGTTATTCTCCCTATGAATTGAGACATTTTAGTCCTGAAGGACAAAAAACCATTGAAAACACCAGGAAGTTTTTAACTTTGTATATCAAATCAACAATTTTGAATGAACAAAATGAAGGAACAAGTTGTTAGAGGAGCCAAAAAATAATAGTTAAAGGAATGTCACTCTTTTTCAAGCAAAAATCCAGGACATACCTATCAAATGTGAAGAAAATAGGTGTGTTATGTGGTTAGATGTGGAGAGAATCAGACGGCTTCAAAGTTTTTTTGTGCAACTTGAACATCTGATTTTAAAGCTATGGTTCAGGAGCTGATACATCTCTATTGGAGATGTATCTGTATAGCAACATATGTGACAGAAAAAGTCAATTGCACCAGTGCACTACCATGTTCTATGTAGATTTAATTTGTAGAGTACCTTATAGACCTTCATGGGGTCTGTTGAGCTAAATCACATTGTGTTGCTGTGTGCTATTAGTTTTCTATTACAGAAAGGGATTTGTTATACCAGCATTGTACAGAGCACTCTGAAATGGGTCTGTGGCCATGCGGAGAGAAGTATTGTGTACTCTGTGAACTTTATCCCATCATTAAATATTACCATTCGTGTCCATGTAATCCTGCAGGGTGAGCTGATGCCTGCAGTGTTAATAAGGTGCTTGCACAATAACTGTTTCTTAGGTTTATGCTTCTGAAGTATTGCGTTCCCCTAGAAGACTTTCATGTAACATAATGCATACATTTCCCAGCTGGGTTGTATAGACTAGCTTAAGCATGACCCTGGACAAGGACACACATTATCTATGTCTACATTATGTGTTATAAGGCAGCATTATATGGGATCAGGCAAAAAAAAAAAGCTAAGGCAGGAAATCTATATTCATGAGCTTGAAATAGGTTCATCTTAAGGGAAAAAACATAAGAATGAAAACCTTTAGAGCTGATGGAGGGAAAGAAACTAATAAAAAGAGATGTGTTATCCTTTTGCACATCAACTAGGGAGCACTTCACTGGGCATGGGGAGACCATTTAGAGCTGCTAGTATATTTTCAACTGCTTCCTCTGTTATCATGTAAGCGGTCTTGTCTGTTTTAATGCCGAGGTGAGGCGTTATAATGACATTCTTTAATTTTAACAATGGATGATCTCTGGAAGAAAAGAAAAAAGAGCTGTTATTTACTGTTGTTCGTTCAAATAAAGAGGGCTCCTACTTTAGCTTTTGCACTTTATTTGAAGTTAATTTGATATAACAAGTCCCGCTTAGAACCACAGAACCCAATCACCTGTGTTGAAGTAATTTTGGACTGTAAGAGAACATGTTAAGAGTTTATACTGTGCTCTTTTCTCCATAAACAGAGTTTTCCCATTGGGCAGCAATTCAAACTATGTCAGAAGAAAGGATTAAGTCCTCCTGACACATTCACACTATACAATGGTCTGAGCTGTAGTTATTCATTCCCACACAGGCATAACAAGACCAAACTCCTCCCACACCCAAAATGCAGCCAGCACAGTTTAACTCCGAGATGCACCACCATGGTACAGGTGTCTTTTTACAGAAGCCAAGCAGCCTCTGGGCCCAAGAGGTCTGCATTACTTCAGCCTCATATTGTGGAAGGAAGCCTGTGGGGAAGGACACCTCAGGGCAATGCAGTAGGTCTTAGAAGAGAAGAGGGCTCAAGGAGCTTTCACCCATTCATGGCAAGTTGCACCTTCTAATAAAGCAATTTGCGAGTGAAGCACTGCTGCAGCTTCACAGGGTGATTCTACAGAGCTGGTCTAATGCTCTCCCTGCCTCCTGCTGTTTCCTGGCACCTAGGCTTCCCCTTGGCCTGTTATCAGTCCCAACATCTGGTCTGCATCCATTCATATTCATGGCACTTTTACCCAAACCCCCATTCCAAGTAGCGGGGTGGCTGCCTCAACCAGGTCCCTGCCTGCTGCAGGGATACCTTCAGCCTCGGCAGGGCTCACCCATCCTTTCCAAGAAATAAGCAGAGATGACAACCTGGGCAGTGGTTCTGGGCAGGTGACATCCAAAGCCGCGGCCCCAATAACACCAGTCTGCAGAGCCATCACCAGCGCCTCTTGGTCAACTACTGCACCTGGTTTGGAATAAGAGTGTCTCTGAGTGCAACTTGCGTTGCAGGTAACGAGCTCAGAGTGAAAGGAGAACGGAAGAGGAGAGGGAGGAATTTTTGCCATGCCCAATCTGTCCTCGCCATGTGCACCACCTGTGCGCTGGCTGCAGCACGGTGCTGTGTGCGACACAACAGGAGCTGGCCCGTGCTTTCTGGCCAGTCAACTGTTCTGGATGGTACCTCGGCTGATGTTAATCAGAGTAGCTGTGGGTTTCATCAGCTCCAGCTCTCTCTTCCCAATCAGGCTGCGTGTCTGAGGCGTCAGGCTCACCACCACCATCACAAAATCTGACTGCTGGAGTAAGCTGTCTATCTTTTCGCAGTAAGTGGCACCAACAGCTTGCTCCTCCTGCGCTTTCCTAGTGGGAGAAAAAGTATTCCAGGGCATCAGTCATGAAAATATTTTCTTCACTGATGTCACCAGTATACAGAATAAAGGATCTGATTATTACATCCATGTAGCAAACAAGTGGCAAATAAAGGTTAATTTAGGCTCAGCTGGGTGTTTAGACCATTCTGTAAGGCTTCAAGCCACTGCAGGGTCTAGGGGCTTCTTATAAAGTCTGCAAATGGACTAAGGATAAGCACTGGAGCAGATGGCAGCACATGGTTCATTCTCCAGGATCCCCAGTGGAGAAGATGCTCAAACCAGAGTAGTGTTATTCACCAGAACTCATCCATGTAAGCGCTGAGCATGCTGGTGGTCCTCATCCTGTTGGCACCCTCAGTAAGCTTGTAATTTTTTCATGAGTGAAATCAGCAAGGCAGCTCTTTGCCAGCCTTCTAGCTGAACAGAATTAAGTGTTCAGCAAAAAAAATTACCAAAGTAGAGAGAGATTTTTAGTTTTCATTTTTTACAATAAAAAGGAATACTCGTTATTTCTCCCGTTCTTTGTAAATTTTGATTCCTGAACTTTGGCACCCAAAGAAGCAATGACAGGAGATCCTGTGTACAATTTTCTGCTCCTGACTGCAAGAGAAGGGTTTTAAGTTATCTCCTCCCTAATTTAGAAATAAGGAAGTCACACTAACAAAATAACTTCAGTGTAACTTTGGACCATGTGTCTCCTAACACATGCACTTCATTGTTTTCTTTCATGTTCAGGTCAATAAGCAGAGAATAAGTAGGAACACAACAGACTGGAACTACAGCCAATTTTGCATCATGCAGAATGCATCTTGATTCAACACAAAAGCTTATACTTTAAAATAAAAAGGTTTTTAATTTCTGTTGCACTGTGCATTGATCATTCATCACAGCACTCTTACATAAATATTACTTTAAAGAGTAGGAAATATTAAACAGAGGTAGTTTGTGACGATCCACAGGGAAAAAATAATAAAAGGATTTGTGCCTTTTTTTATCTTTGTTTCAAGTGGTTTATGAAGAAATTCTGAAAGATCTTAAGGAGGTTGTTCACTAGTACTTTTTTTTTAATGTGAGTTTGCTCAGCTGTTTTCCTGAGTAACAGAAATGCCAAGCATTTCTGGCCTCATGCACCCTTCTGATTTGACTAGGGCTAGCCAGAGCAGTGACCCTCCTTCTGCAGTCTGCATACGGAGAGAATCACTGACAGCCACATGTTCTAGCACTGCAGCTTCTCCCTTCAGTCAGAGAGGATTAAAGTTCTCTCAGGGCAGGTCATGGTTTATAGCAACGAATATTTGTTCTGCTCGTTGTCTGCACCTTGCCTGATTGCAAGGGCCTCGAGTCATATGTGGGGATCTTGTTTGCTTTTACAGTGAAGAGCCCTTGTGCTGAATGTCGAACAAGGATCAGATTCCCAGACTCACGAGTTAGGAGGGGCTAGAAATAAAAGGTGAAATAAGGTTAAATACTTGCTAAAATGGCTTGAGGAGAAAGAGGTTTTTAGCAAAAACAGCTCTCAAGTGAATCATATTGGGCCAAGTATAAGTTTCTTAGTTTTCCAGACACTGAGTTTCAACAAGATCCCTCAATATATGCACTAAAAATAAACAAAAAGTAGAGTTATGTGTCACTATAGTATGATATAATAAGAACAAAAAAAAAAGTATAAGCTTGATTTCCATTTTTCTGCTCACATCTGCAAGAAACCTTGAAATTTCTAATATAAAACCTAAATTAAGTTTCCAAGTGTTTAATCACCAAGTAACTCTTTACAGGACTGATTTAAGGCAACCATTCTTTTTTTTTTCTCTTTTGTTTCAATCTTGGCCTTAGTCCCTCATTTTTTGCTATATTTCTGACATAATTCCTTGAAAAGAAAATACTGAGAAAAGAAGAGAGTTTCTGCTGCACTTAAAGTAAATCTTTACCTCCGTGTCCTGTTGTGGTACAAAATCTTCATTTCAAATGCTTTGGCTCTCAGAGCAATCTTATATCCAATGCGGCCCATGCCAACAATCCCCAGAGTAGATCCAGAAATTTTAACTCCCAGAATATCAGCTTCACAGTAATCCACATTTGAAGAAATTGCAATGTGATGGACTGCAGGAAAAATACTCAAATATGAGAAGTGAATGGAGTCCAACACAGAGGAACAAGGCAAAAGAGTCTGAATTTGTTATGCTACTACAGCACACTTCTAATGATTATGAACACATGATCTTGTGATTGTCCTAGGTAACTCCCTGATATATCATCTTTCCCTCCTACATGTATATATGACATTATCATTAATTCTTACTCTACTACGAAAAGCTTTCTGATGTAATTTCTCCCAAAATTCCTTCTCCTGTTTTAGACTCATGAAAATATTGCCCTGTTCTTCATCAACAATCAAAATAATTATCACCAATAACAATGCAGAGTTTGGAAATGTCATGTGGACAACACCACCAGATATTAGGTTTGCTTATTTAGAATAAAAGCAGGTTTCCTGTTCACATCTGTCACTCTCCTTTGAAAGAAAAGTGCAACTGGTTTAAGAATCACTGTGGTAATTTCCATAATTATCTGTTAAGCCTGCACAATTTTGGATAGTTCTAAGCACATACAATACAGTTATATACACAGAGTCAGCACTTAGTTTTCTAGGAAGATGACAAGCTTCTGATATTTCAGTCTTCCGACATTGCCAGCTTTTCTAGAACATAAGCAGAATGTTGTTAAAGTATTAAAAAAAAGACTCAGGGAAAAAATCTCAGTAATCTGAGGGCAGAGCTGTCAGAAATGCCACCAGGGATAGTTTATGTAGATGGGAACAAGAAATTAATCTCCTTTTTAATCTGTCTCCTCCTTGTGATGTAGAAACAGATTTAGAGTGGGACAAAACTCCTCTGAGTTTCTGTGAATGCTGTGGTGCAGGATTTGGCAAGTCAAAGTCAGGTAAATTTAACAGGATAAATCTGGGTGATCTTTTCCTGAAGCAGGAGGCATTCTAATCAAGCCAAGGGTAGGTCTATTTGGGGAAATAGCAAGAAAAAAATTGCTGAAGAAACTAGAAAAGATGTTATAAGCCGAAATGGTAGTAGGCTCCTTTATTACTCTCTACTGCCCCTTAAATGCCCCAATTCTGCACCAATGCATTTCAGTCCCCAAGAATATGCCCATGCCTCTATCAGCATTATGGGCCACTATTATTATTATATGATTCTATATACCCTTGTTTTGCTTCACTGTTGCCTCTCATACTCTAATTTATTCTGCCAGCCTGTGGCTGCAGCGATTGTCTGATCTTTGGCATCCCCCACTTCTGCTTATAGCATTGTAACACTGTCACATTGAAAAGCACATCTTATGTCAGCCAAATATCATAGTCACTGAAAATGCACTGCTGCAGAAGGTAATGAAATTTAAAGTTTTTGTATGTAGAAAGCACACATCAGTGTGTTGTTCACCTGAAACTGTTAAATAAAGTCTACAGCCATATTTATTTTAAAAGCTAAACTCCAGTTTCTAGGAACACTTGGTCCATAAAGCAGAAAGTTGTGTTTAAATGAAATGTGATTAGATTCTGGTCAAGTATTTTCAACCCTATGAAAACTAAATTCATATGATTTCATTTATATGTGGTTGAAATACTGGTTATGTATGCCTGTGTATGATGTAACAATTTAAGTATATTTATCCTACTTAATTCACATTTTATGGGAAACTATAAGCACTACACATAACTCTATAAGAAAATTCAAGTTAATGGTAGGTAAATCTTGTACGACTTTTAGAAGTCACAAAAGAATTGCAATGTTACCTTCCACTACTCTTCTAGCAGATGCTAGCAGCAAAGCCATCCCAGCATCTGCTGTGCTGTTGGAAACAGCACGTGGAGCATTAGCCATCTTCACACCAAAGCTAGCTATAAGTTTCAGATCCAGATGATCCATCCCCACTCCTGAATTCGCAATCACTTTCAAGTTTGGCAGGCTTTGGAGGAGCTCTCGGTCAATGACTGGTTTGTGCCACCACATATAGATTGCTTGGACCTTTTTACTTAAATGCTTCCTGTTTTCAAGCAATTCCTTCATGGTGATGAGGTAGAAATGTTTCCTCAGGAATGCCACATGGCTGTGCAGTATCCCAAGTATGCCACCGATTTCATTTACCAAAAGACCAGGTAGTTCTTCTCCTTCCATGATCTGCACAAAAAAGAAAGACACAAAGCATCATAAGAAAGACGTGCAATTATTTCCAGACATTTTAAAGAATAATCATTGTCATGTCCTGTTTCATGACATCTATGACAAGAGATCCTATAAATCACATACTTAGATAGGAAAGTAGGCAAACCAAGACAAGAAAGCAGCTCTTTTAAATATACGACCTATTATATTCATACACAGAGGTGTACACACACACACACACACAAATATTCACACAATCAGGCCTGAACAAGTTCTGCCCTCTGTGGTCTCCAAGATTTCATAATATTGCCACCATGCTCAAAACACAACAATTACTTCTCATCAATTACTTAGTTTCAGACCATCAACAGTCTGGTACAATAAATCTCCTTTGCTACCCTGAAATGAAAAATTACCTTGTCTAAGTAGTTTAGAAAAATGTCAGACCAAATCTAGTTCATGAAAATAAATTGCACAGTTTCATCATGAACTTTGAGTTGCCAGGTTAATTTTTGAATGCGTCATTGCAGAGATTTTTGCAGTCTGCTGTCCTGGAGAGACCCCAGTGACTGAAGGGCCTTCTCCTGGGCCTATCATAAGTTAACAAAATAACAGATGCTTAGGCAAGTATTTTTCAAGAAGGATTTATGCACTCAAACTTAGATGGCATTTTGGTTTTTTTTTCAGGAATCACTGACCATCGGGTTTTGGTTCCCAGAGGGTCTATGAATTGACAGTTGCTTTGTGGTTTGGGGAGGGGGGGGGGCGTTTGCCCTTTTTTTTTTTTTTTTTTAATAGACTATTTATAGCTGCCTTTGATTTTCTACAGCAATTTTGGGAAGAGTGGTGGGTAGAGTGTTCAAGGGCTGAAGATCTTGGAAACCCCTATGGCTATACTTTCTGTTGCCTTGTTAGTAGTATTTCACTATTTGCATCTGAATGTCTAACTCTTGGCCTGTCTACAGTTCCTGTGCTAAAACTTCATTTTACCATTCCTTCAAGCAGCCTGATCATATTGCAAAATAATGGAAAGGCTTCCTGACTTTAGGGGGTTGACAAACACTTTACTGAATTTTCTGACTTTGTTGCTTGCTCATAGGAAAGAGAATGTAAGAAAAAGCTTGGCCCTGGGCTGCAAATTGGGACTGACCACTTATTTCGCTTTAGGTTGTGCTCTCACCCATGTGATTTCAGTGGTAGTTCTATCACTATTTCATGGCCAGTCAAGATAAAAGCATCATTTTTTGTCTGCAGGGAGGAACTAAATCTCTTGGGATTTACTTTGTTTTTCAAAGGATCACCTCAGGAAAACACTTTTTCAACGATTGGCAATTGGTATTGCTTTAACATGTAGATGAAGCAGAATTCTTAAATTAGAAAAAACTTAGGCCTACAATTACTTCAAAAGAACATTTATTCAGTGTTTTAGTATAAAAATAGAATATTGCAATATTGGCTGAAAAATGTGTCAGGATACAGTCAAATTTCTGCAGGGAATTAAAGCTCATTCATCTTTAATAGATTTGAGAGTGTTACACAAACTACTTGGTGTACTTGCTCATCATTCTGTAGTAGCAAGTACTGGGAACAAAACAAGGGTATGCAACACCCCAGTTTTGAAGTCCCAGGCTCAACTGGGAATATTACTCCTATTTAAGGCTTCAAAAGAACCAAACTTTTAAAAAGCCTTTAGTTCGTTATTACCTCAAATTCATGTGCAGAGGAAACGGTGCCACACTTTCTCTAAGGGAATTTCTTTCAACTTAGTGAGAAAATAAACATTTGGGCAAAAGGTTTTACAGAGATAGCGTATAACCAAGGCAGAGATATTTCACCAGAACACCCAGCACAAAGATCCAGTCCACTAAAGCACCTCTACAAAGTAATCTGTACACCAGCTTAGTAAACACGAGTCATTGGTTTTAAGTCACTCAAGGAAAATTAGAGTAAAGGAAAGAGTTAAAGAAGAGTAAGGGAAAGAGTAAAGGAAGCACAGAGATTAACAAAAATAGAGAAAGAGAAGAGAAGAAAGAGAATAAGACAAAAATAGTTACAGCCGAGGATCCGATGGCTCACACAGTGTCAGCCAGAAGAGAAACACCCCCACACAGGCTGAGCCCCTGTGCTCCCGCATTTATAAGGTTCGGCCAGCATGGTCAGGCCTCGCAGGCGGGACATGCAGGTCATCGACCACTCAGTAGCGCCCTGGCCAGAGTGAGGTGTGCTGTAGGCAATCACAGGCTCCAGGGGGCGTGGCGTGGGCTACCCGTGTGTCCTTTTTGGTGGACAGCTGCCCAACGCAGGCGTCTGGCGCTGTCAAGGGCTTTCTGAGGGCAGGCCTGACCTTGTCCCCCAGTGCCCAGCCCTTCCCCACCCCCACCACGCAGCAAGTTTGTCGGGGCCTTAGCAATTCTGCATGATTATCCTGAGTTCTGAAAAGGTCAGGAGGTAACGGTAAGATAAACAAGAAACGGCTTGCTGCTGCAGGAATGCAGGAGTCAGCAGAAGCAGGATGGGAAAAACAGTGATAACAGAAACGGTGTGCAAATGTGGGCTTCAAAACCACAAATCGGTGGGTTACCTGGGGCGCGTGGACAGCGCGTGCTGACCAATCGTGACGGCGTGCTGTGCTCGTGCTCGCGTGGACAGGACTCAGAATAATATAAATTGTACAGCTTAACAATAATAAAACTGGATTCGAACTTGCATCTTGTGGATGTGTGTATGGTTCTTTCCCGCTCGCTTGCCTGCCTGCAGCATCTGGTGAACCCCGACGTACGTGCTTGGGGACGATCGAACATCGGACTGCAGAGCCTGCGAGGATCCTGCTTGCCAGCGAAGTTATAGCTGGGCGCCAGAATAAAGGCGGATCGTGCACGGACTGACCGGTGAGTCAGGAAGATAAGCAGGATGAGATTAACTGCGTTAGCAGTGGAAAAGGCGGTTGTCGATAGCCTAATGAAATTGGCTGATAAGACTGACACTCAGTTGCCGCGTTCGGCGCTGATAGATTTACTATGTTGGTGTCACCGCCGTGGATTTTTCTCCTCCACGGAAGATATATATAAGACTGAGACGTGGCAAAAGGTGGGGGAGGACTTGTGGGAATCGGTACAACTTGGAACGAAAGGGGCAAAGACATTAGCAAAAACTTACCGTACTCTGCGAATACTGATTGAACGGCTACATGGCGAGGCGTAAGTCGTTGCAGTGCGGCCTCCCGATAGCTCTCAAACAAAGGCAGAACGCGCGGCTGAAATGCAGGGTGTCTGGCCCCCTCTTGGAGACCCCCCTAATTATCCTCCGTTGACATGTCCTGTCATGACTAAGGCAGAACAAATAGCGTGGGGTTTAGATGACGAATTACCACCGTGGAACACCCAGTAACGAAAAGCAATTGCCTGAAGTACAAATCGAAAGTAAAATACCGGGCCCGCCTCAGATCGCGATCGAAACCTTCCCGTTCCCCCCCCTTTACCCCCCCGCAGTGTGTGCTGAAGACGAGCCGAGACGGGGGGGGGGTGGGGGCGAGGCAATATGGAGGGCTGCTGGAAGACACGGGAAGGCAGAGGCGCCCGGAGCCTCCCCACCCCCTTCCCTCCCGCGCCGCTCCACTCTACGAAGGACGGCAACTATTCACTGTAGAATTCCGTAAAGCTCGCCCAAGACATTCTTTGAACTTTTAAAAATGTTTTAACTTGAACAAAAGGCAAGACTGAAAAACAAAAGCTTGTGTGAAAGTGATGTCTGAAACCTTTCAAACGCAGAAACTCCCTAGGGCTGTTGCTGCTGTGTTAGTTGAAGAGAGCCTGGGTAGGTCGAAGGGAGCGCAGCTAGTCCCAAAGGAGCTCGGATAGTGAATCACTGGGTTCATAGGTTCGAGACCCACCGTGGAACAAGGGATTGGCTGCGACCCTGAAGCCTCTTTTTTTTTCTCCACGCAGACCCTCGGTAAAATTGTCTGACTGCTCTCATTTTTTTCTGCACGGTAACTACTTAGAACTGACGGAACTTTTAAAAGCAACGGTTTTTTAAGCTTTTTGTTAACAGTGCAAACGGCTGAAAGAGGCAGATGGACAGAAACTGAAACCTGACTACATTTCAAACATCGGAAATACCAACATCCAGAGAGCACAGAGACAACATCGGCGGAGGAGAGCCAGCACAGAGCAGGACGCCTAGGCAGAACCGTGCTGGGAGCAGAGCGGGGACGGGGCTCCTGTTGATGTGACCACGCCGGGCTGCGGAGCCGGGACACTGCGAGCTCCGAGCCAGAGCGGGGCACGCTGCTGCCTGCGCTGAGGGGAGTCCCGGAGGACACACACCTGCAGGGCTTAGCACTTGTGGTGTTAAAACAAAGCTGCTGAAACTACAGCTGATTCAAAAAACAAAACAAAAAACAAAAAACAAACAAACAAAAAAAGGAAAAAATAGAAAAAAAAGAAAAAAGAAAAAAAAGAGGAAAATAAAAAAAAAAAAAGAAAAAAAAAGGGGAAAAAGGGAGTTTTGAAGAGACCTTTCATGTGCATGGTGGTGTTTTTCACTGAGTTTGTCACAGTTGACAGAGAAGTGGAACTTACTGGGGAATAGTTAAAGGTTTAAGAGGTCTATAATTGATCCTGGTTACTTGGTTAAAGTAATTTTATAATTGCAGATTATACCTTCTTTTCTTTTCCCCCTTTCTGGCATCAGGTTAAGATACATTTCAGGTGGGAATTTAAAATGTACACAGATGATTCTTTGTCTTCTTTTTTTTTCAGTTCACCTGACGTTATTTCTGTTATACTGCATAGCTTTTGGTATTCTAAAGCAAGACTAACTCACTCAGAAATCAAATTATTGTCAAAAAGCATTTTACACACCAAGCATATTTTCAAAACAAAAGAGGGGAGGAGAATATGCATGTACATAAACAGGTCCTGGATCAGAAATGGATCTCATTTAGGTTTGTTAGGCCTTTTGTTTCCTTGTATTGATTCCTTTTCAGGACAGGTGGAATTGCTGAACATGACCACCGGAGATGGCAGACTGAAAAGCACTGAGAAGCCAACAATACTTAGGAATCTGAGATTTGTGGTTGAAATGAAAAATATAATAAAAATCCCAGCTATGTGTGAATGAAGGATGATTGAGGTGCCCACCTTCTGAATGACTGGGAAAAAAGCTGTATGAGTGAAAAAAGCTGCGCAGATATCTGTGTGTGTGAACTTAAATACTTAATGAATATTAAGATTTTAAGAGAATGTGTTATATAGATTTAATTATGGTAAGTTGATGCTGCTAGCCTTCGGAGATTGGAAGCAGATATTGAAGATATTGCAAGTTAATGCTGGTTAAAATTGACTAAATGGTCTGTTGGTAAATATCAGGATGGCTTTTACCTATAATCAAGACAAGTTTGCTTGTGTTGTTTTTACCTCTCTGATCATAGTAGGCCAAGCCAGGAACAAAGGTGGATAGCGGAACAGAGGTGGAGTACACAACATGAATATGACCGAATCATGACTCAAAATGACACCAAGATCCTTGATTGGTTCTGTGATGAAAACTTGTGTATCCCTAGGGTGCGGATGGTCCCTCCCCAAAAACATGGATCGGGTTTGTTTTACATTTCATAAATTACGGATTAGCAAACGCAAGGAAAAATGGCAACGTAAACAACAAAACTAAGACTATCTGGTATTACCACCTAATTCTATCCAGCATCATCCCTGTCACAGCCATCCACAACATTGACCCAAGACAAAATATGTGGGTTACTTGGGCCAATGTGTCTGGGGTTACAGAATTTTGTCTATCCCTCCAAAAAGCCAGTGATCCTTTTCGAACTTGTCTAATTGGTTATCCATACATAAATTGGCCAGACTTTAGCCATTTGGGAGTGAACTACACTGCTATTAATAACTCTTATTGGCAGTGGAGAGACGACAACTCACGGGGCGAATGTACAAAATCGTGGAATTGGCCTATTGTAAAAGAAGCACGTTTTTTACAACAGTTGATATTCAACTCAACGAGTCGGCACCTTTACCCTTACAAGAATTGGATTTGTGGGGATCGTTTCCTCCTGTCATAAGTGTGAGCGATGTTTCTAACCAAACAAATTGTACCAATATATACCCAAAGATTTTGCCGATCAATGGATCCGGAGTCGTCCATTTTGGAGACTCATGGAAACGTCTCATGCATGCCGACGGCGTAATGCAATATTATCTGGGCTACCAAAATGTGACCGGGCAATCTAGTCATTGGAATACCTCCAAACATGCCGGGGAGTTAAATGTAGAAAACGTGTCTGCTAAAATACTACCTGAGGGTTATTTTCTAATATGTGGTGATAGAGCTTGGCCTGGTATTCCTTTTCGTCCCGTGGGAGGACCATGTTACATTGGGAAGTTAACCATGTTTGCACCCGCCATGCGTGACCTGGTAAGACAGACAAATCACATTCGGACCAAGAGAGATCTCAAAGACTTAACACCTGATTGTGATGACCCCAGGGGGCATGGCGGCAGCAAACTGGAAGAAAATTAAAACTTTGGCGTGCTGGGCTGTAAAACAATTTAACTCTACTTCTGAAATCTTAACAGGTTTAGCTAGCGATGTAAATAGCTTGAGACATGCGGTTTTGCAAAATAGAGCAGCGACTGACCTTTTGCTTTTAGCACATGGGCATGGGTGTCAGGATTTTGAGGGAATGTGTTGTATGAATTTATCTGATCATTCACAAAGCATACACAAACAGCTACAAGAAATTAAGGAACGCATGCATCATGTAAAAGAAGGATCTGCGGGATTGGATGCCTGGCTGGCATCATGGGGAATAGGAGGTTGGCTAAAAGATGTACTGAAACAAGGGTTGTCTATACTCATTTTTATTCTGGTTTTATTGCTTGTTGTTCCATGTATCTTTAGGTGTCTTCAAGATTGTATCATTCACAGTTTTGATTCTGTGCTTAAGCGAAAGGGGGGAAATGTCGGGGCCTTAGCAATTCTGCATGATTATCCTGAGTTCTGAAAAGGTCAGGAGGTAACGGTAAGATAAACAAGAAACGGCTTGCTGCTGCAGGAATGCAGGAGTCAGCAGAAACAGGATGGGAAAAACAGTGATAACGGAAACGGTGTGCAAATGTGGGCTTCAAAACCACAAATCGGTGGGTTACCTGGGGCGCGTGGACAGCGCGTGCTGACCAATCGTGATGGCGTGCTGTGCTCGTGCTCGCGTGGACAGGACTCAGAAAAATATAAATTGTACAGCTTAACAATAATAAAACTGGATTCGAACTTGCATCTTGTGGATGTGTGTATGGTTCTTTCCCGCTCGCTTGCCTGCCTGCAGCACAAGTTGCCTCCGACCCACATAAAAATGTTATATAATCCAGTGAGATTTCAATCCAGCACGTCACAAGGTGTTCACCAACAGACTGAAGATATCAAGGTGCATAGCCGCTTGGTTAAAATCTTCAAACAATTCTCTTTTATTGGTTCTACTTTATTTTTCAGAATTGGAAATAACAGTACAGATCAAGTCTAGTGAGATAGTTTTGCAGTATCATGACAAGCAGTGCAGGAACAGGTTGCTTTTTTTTTTTTTTTAGTTTAAAAGTGGTACTGTAAGAAATAGTGCCTGCCCATACACATGAGATTTAGTGGTATCATCTGGCACACATCATTTGGGAAACACTTCACTTGGAATAGGTTGACCATTGAGAACAGCCAGTATATTTGCTATTGCTTCTTCTGCCATCATATGGATAGCTTGGACTGTTGCAGTTCCAATGTGAGGGGTTATGATGACATTATTTAATTTTAATAGAGGATGATCTCTGTAAGAAATAGAAAGAATAGAATGTGTTACACAGAGAACTTACTCTGCTGCTATCCTATCCTAGCTGTGAGAAAGGGAACCTCAGGAAACAGCAGTGGCATGTTGAAATAAAAGGGCCACAAGCACAGAACCAGCAGAAAGCTGTGAGAAGCTTGCTTACCCATTTCTTTTTTCGCTCTATTGGTCTTGTTGCCTTGCCTGTCAGTTAGGCTGGCAAAGAACTGACAGATGTGGGAAAGGCAAATACTTTGTCATTTATTTATGATTGTGTGAGATAGGCTGAGGTTTTGCCCTTACACAGTGAGAGAAGCTCCCCGTGGAAATCAAGATTATGAGTGCACTTTGCACACAGTTTGAAACATTTCAGATTAAAAGAACAGCAAACAGGTTTCTTTACCTTGGCAGAGGCTCAGGGTACGTCACATCCAGAGCTGCAGCCCTAATAACCTTATTCTGGAGAGCTTCTACCAGTGCATCTTGATCAATAACTGCACCTGCATTGAAATGAAATCTTGATAACATGACGAGTTAATGAATACACTTTTTATGTGGGAGTGAGGAAAGGTCTCAAGGGCCTAATGAGAAAAATTAGAGGATCTTCATCTTGTTCAAAAGCAGAATGCCTTTCTAACAACTATTAACCAAACAAACCAGCGAT